AACAAATAATTAAATATTAAATATATTTAAAAAAAAAACTATTTAAAACAATAAAAAATTGTAAAATACAAAGAAAGAATAAAAATTATATATAATTTTATTGAAAAAAATATACATTTATCAATAAAAAAAATGGGTAATTTTTGTACTAGAAAAGCAGCAAAAGAACCCAACACTTAAATATGCCCAATTCATAAATAAATATATTCTTATATTTGTTTATCAGACTAATGTTAATAAAAAACACCCCAATTATGCTTAAAATGTACACTAAAGCATCCATAAATTCACTAAATCTAAACACTGGAAGATTTCAATAACAGCTTATCTTAAATATAAGAAGATCTCCAAACTGAATCATAAAAATATAGACATAGTTAATTTTTATTATATCCATAATTATAATTATTAAACCCTCTAAATATAACATAATAATCAATATAAAAACTAGATGAGTCAATAAAATAGCGACTTTTATAAAAAACTGAAAGAATAGCAAATTAAGAAATAAAAAAATGTGAAGAAGATGAAAAAAAAGTCCTTGACTTATGTTTGATTTCTCCTTAAAATTCTGCTGATTTAGAGAGTTAATAATTTTTGGCAAATTTTCAATACAAGCCGAATTTTAAATAAAAAATGTTCCATAATATATATGAAAATATAAAAAAAATAAAATAAATTCCCTAAAAATTATTTAATCCATATTAATTCAATCATTAGACTTTTAAAAATGAGAAAAAAAAAGTACTTGTTATCCAAAATGACCTCGAAAACATGAAATTAAAAACTTGCTGTAGAATAAGCTTTTCTCATGCCGCGCTTCATTTCAGATCAAATTAATTTGTTTCTTAATTTTTTTTAGTTGATTTAATTTAAGAGAAAACTATTTTTAGTACAAATTATAGTCTTGAGTAAATATAGAGATAAAACCAAAATTAATTATAAGTAAATTATTTATTAAAAATCTCCTATTTAGGACAAAATTGGATTTCTTTTAATTTCATTAATGTAGTCGAAATACATTGTTTTAAAAATATAATAGAAAATAACTCACTTTATGTTCAAAAAATTAAAATATTCCCTAAAAAACCAGTCACGAATATCGATAAATTAAAAGATGGAGAAATATGTCTTTTAGAACATGATTAGAGTATTTTTTTGGAATAAAAATAATACACTATTTGGAATTATTAGAAAAGATAATGCATTAGAACACTTGATATTGATAATAATTAATAAATATATGATGTTTTTGATGATAAAATTATTTTAGATGTCAATTTGAATTCTTTTGTAATTTTTAATTGGAAAACAAATAAAATAGAAAAATAATATAATTAAATTTTTTGGTATTTATATGACTATCATAGGAATTTTAATATTGGATATAGATATGATAATTAGGCAGTCAAAATTTTTGCTATATAAAAATTATTGGCAACTAAAGATGATACTTTTTTACTAAATTAAATTTCGTTTGAAAATTGGCTTAATAATTTACCTTTTAAATATAAAAAAATGATTATATTTGAGGATAATTGGTAGTTTTAATATGATAGTACTACTATTATTATGTTATAACAATCTCTTTTGATTTATGATATGAATTAAAATAAAGTTTTGGTTTAAGTTGAACTTAAAATTCCTTAGTAAAAAATTAGCTTTATTTGGTAAGTAAATGATAGGTTAATTTATGTCACTAAAGAGGGTATTTTTTTGTTTTATGGATGATTTTTATATTAATACATTTAATTTTTTTGTCATATATTTATTTAAAATCAAAAATGTATAGGGTTTTTTTTTATTATTACTAATATAGAAAAATGTTTATTTATTTTAAAATTTTTTAAAAATTAGAAAAATATAAAATATACCTTTATATAAAAAAAAAATAGAAAAATTAATAAAATTACAAAAAAATAAATATACAAACAAATAAAAATTATATAAATAAACTTAAAAAAAGAATATAAATATAATTTAATTTAGTAAATTTAAAGAATAAATAGATAAATAAAAAATTATAGAAATATACATATACATATACATATACATATACATATACATATACATATACATATACATATACATATACATATACATATACATATACATATACATATACATATACATATAAATAGTTTAAGTTTAAATAAATTTAATTAAATATAGTTTTTAATTATATTTTCATTAATTTAATAAGTCTATGTATATATATTATGGATTATAAAACATATAATTAGCTATATTTTTTTTATATGTTATATATTTTAAATTATCTCTATTTTGTTTTTAATAAATAAATTTTTATTTATTTAATGTGCAACTAATTATTTTAATTTTTTAATAATTTAAATAAAAATATAAACATTTTGTTATTATTTTATTACCTTTACTAAATTTATGTATAAAGTAAACTTTCATTTTATTATTTAATGTATCGTTTATTTAAATAATTTATTTCATTAATTTATAGTTCATTATTTAATCTTATTTTTTTTTAAATTAAATAATTAGCTTTTTTAAAATTCTTATTAAAAATAAATATTTTACTATAAGTCAATTCTAATTAATTATAAATTATTTAAATTAGCAAATAAAGCAATAAATGAACATATTTCAATGTTATTTAAATTACACTATCTATTTTGTTTTATTATATATATATCATGAAATATAATTTTTATTTATATATAACTTAAAATTCAAGTTTATATCTTTTATTTATTTTTATTTCTTAAAACTATTTTCTAGTACACCTATGGAATTTTAAATATCATTTTAACTTAAATTAATATTTAAATTTTATAAATTATTAAGATATGTTATAGAATGAAATATTTATGAAGCTCCTGTTTTTTTTATCTGGTTTTATCTTTTTTTTAGTGAAATAAATAAACAAAAATGTTTAATTTTTTAGTTTAATAAATAAACGAGAATATTTAATTTTTTTTATATTACTTAAGACTAATAGTTAAATCAATTATATTAGCTTTTTATTTAAAACCTTTAGTAAATAAAGTTGATTCATCAATTAATTTTCCATTTCTATATTATATTATATATAATAAAAAATAATATATATATATATATATATATATATATATATATATATATATTTGTATGCTTATTAATTATATCTTAATAAAAAATTATAATATATTTTACATCATTACTCAAATTTTAAATTTATTTTTTCTATATTTTCTTTATTATTTAAGAACTTATATAAATCTTAACTCAAAATGTTTGAATTTCGTAAATTTTATATTTCTAAAATAAATATTTTCAAAGTTTATAAATTTGTATTTTAAAGTTATTAAAAATAAACACTTTCTGTTATATTTTATCCATTACTTTATATAAAATAATAAATTATTTTAATTTGTTATTTTATTTTTTTTTACAAAAGAATTTCTAACTTTTGATATTATTTTGAAAATATTTAATTGAAAAAAATCTTTAAATTTTCATCATTTAAATTTTTATTGAATCTTTTGTTTTTTTTTTTTGTTAAATAATAAATGAATTTAATTTTGTTATAATATATTTATTTTACTTAAATTTTAATATTAATTAATCTAATTATTAATTTTTATTAATATATTGGAATAAATTATAAATGAATTTCTAGGAAAATATTACATTACTTTTTTTTTTTTTTTTTTTTAAGAAAAAATCAATTTTAGAATTTTTACGAAAATATTAAATGAAGCTCAATGATTTTATGTTATAAAAATTAATAATTTTAAATGTTTAAAATATTCAAAATATTTAAATCTATATTGCTTTTATTAAAAAATTTAAAAAATTAATATTTATTATGATATATGTTATAATTAAACATTAAATTAATTGATAACATTTTTAAATGCTTTAATTGGTTTAATTATTTATATAATATAATAAAAAAATTTTAAATTTTTTATTATTCTTCTATAGATATTATATTCTGTTAAAACTGTTCAAATGAAATAATATATTATTCAACTTTAAATAGATATTTATATATAAAATCAAATTTATCATAAAATTAATCCATTAAATCATTTTAACTATATACTTTATATAAAGATATGAAAAAATAATATTTTTTACTTAATTCTAATTTAGAATTCATAACATTATTAATAATTTTGAATAAAATGAAAAATTTCATTTGGAATTTTATTTTTAAAATAATTAATTAAATATTCCATTTTATTTAAATAGATGATTGTATAAGATTAATTAAAAAAAAATATTATTTTATTTAAATAATAGTATATATAAATTCTTTTTATTATAATATTTATATTAATTGTATAAATTTTTTATATAATTAATTATGTAAAATATATTTTTTATAATAATTAATTTTAATGATTATCTTATAATATTAAAAAAATATCTTAATCATTTATATAATAATTTTTTTAATAAAAGAAATATATTTTAATATAAAAATATTTATTAAAAAAAAAAAAAAAAAAAATTAGAAAATATATATATATAAATAAATATATATATATATTTTTATAATTATTATTATAAAATACAAAATTATATTTTTTTAATATATTAATATATATTTATCAATAAAATTAATTAATACTTAAAAAAAATTATAATACTAAAATTAATTTATTTTATATTTTTGAAAATTAATTTGATTATAATAAATTAATTTCGATTCAATTTATATACACATTGATATTTTTTATTAATAATTAAATTAATTATTTATATCTTTAAAATTAATAATATTCATAATATATATTTATTTTTATTTATAGCATATAGTTATATTTTTATTAATTAATTTTTTTTACATATATTTATTTTTAATATAAAATATCCTAAACTAATTTACAACTCTATTTAAATAGTTAACTATAAATAAATAAACATAATATTTATAAATTAAAAAAAAAATTAAAGTTATATATATTTTCTTTTAATTAACAAATTTATAAATATATTAATAATATAATTAAGAAATAGAAAAAACTCAAGAATAAATGTAAATTTCAAAAATAGATAAACATAAATCAACATTATAAATAACTCTAATAACTTTATCTTCCTGTTTAGGTTCTTTATATATTGGTTACTAAATAGGAGTTTTTTCACTCGCCAGTGATACTACATTTATAGTTTTTAAAACAAGTTAAGAAAATATAGCTTTATATTAAGCCTTATTAACTTGCTTTATACCTTTAGGTGCTTCTGTAGGTTCTTTATCTTCGGGAAAATTATTAGATATTTTTTCTCGCAGAACCTCATCAATAATATGTGATATGTTTGGTATTATTAGTTCTTTTATGAGTCAATTTTCGAATATAAAATATTTACCTTTAAGTCGTTTTTTAGCTGGAATTACAACTGGTTTAAATAGTTCGATAGTGCCTTTGTATATATAGGAAATATCTCCAAACGAAGTTAGTGGAAAGATGGGAATCATTTTTAATATGGGAATTAATATGGGTATTATTTTTGCGACTTTTTTAGGAATTTTTTTTAGTTAAAAACCTTCTTAAAAAGATGAAGATTATTGGAGATTTGTGTTTATTTTTCCGGCTTTTATATGCGTTTCAAGATATTTAATTTTAAAGTTTATTTATAATTTTGAAACGCCTTTATTTTATGCATTAAAAAGTGAAGATTATTTATGTGAAAAAAGCTTAAAAATAATATATAAAAATGAATATGTATAGGAAATTAAAGATTAAATCTAAAATTAAGCTTAAAAAATTAAAAATTAAAAAGAAAGCTTTAAAAATATGATTAGTATTAAGTATAGAAAAAGATTAACTATAGGATGTTTATTATAAATATTTTAATAGTGGTCAGGTAAATATAAAAAAATATGGATATTAAATAAAATAAATAAATATAAATATAAATATAAATATAAAATATAAATATAAATATATATATACATATATATATATATATATATTTATATATATTATTTATTTTTTTTATATATATAGGCATAAATGCAGTTATTATGTATAGTGGTCAAATTTTTGGATAGTTATTAGATAATGATTTTTTTTAAAAAAATATGATTTCTTTATTATCAAATATTGTACTATTTTTAGCATCATTTTTTTCCTCATTTTTTATTAATGTTTTGGGTAGAAAAAAGATACTTTTATGGGGTAGTGCTTTGTGTTTTTTGTTTTTGGGTATTTTGGCTATTGTTTCTGGTTCAGGATTTCATTAAGAAACTTCCTTTTTGTTTATTTTTGCATATTATATTTCTTTTAATTTCTCTCTTGGACCCTTAGTATGGCTTTATAATTCTGAAATTTTACCTGAAAAAGGTATATCTATTGCCACTTCATGTAATTGGGTTGCTGGGAGTATTATTACTTTGGCTTTACCTTATCTAAATGGAAACATTTGGCCTTTATTTGCCTTTTTTGCGTTTGTATGTGCATGTTGTGTTGTCTTTGTTTAGTTATTAGTTAAAGAAACTTTAGGAAAGAATAAAGATGAGATTGGAAATTTATATTTACCAGAAGGGCATTTATTTGATGAAAATAAAAACCTTTAAGATGGTGAAAAATAAAAAACCTATATAAATGCTTGATTATATATTATTTTTAAAATATAAATAAAAATATATATAAAGAATTATTATTTTTTTTTAAAAAAATAATATTAATATTTTAAATATTTTTTTATAATAAAAAAAATTTATATATATATGATAAAAAATTTTATATAAAACATTCAATTATCAGTACAAAAATTAGAAAATATAACAAAATAGGAATTAGATATCGAAAAAGAAGTAGCTAAACTAGTTTAATAATAATAAGAATTTTATTTAGCATATAATGATATAAAAGTTATATCTTTATTAATATTTTCTATAAATTTTGGTATATTTTATTTAGTTTAAATAAATATTTAATTATATATATATATATAAAGGATTTGCTGTATAAGTTTTATATATTTCACCTTTTTTTGCAGTCTAAAATATATAAGATATATTAGATACTATTGTTTGGTTAATTCCTTGTATAATAGAAGTTTTTTTAATGCCAAAATTGCAAAATTGTATTGCTAAAAAGTCTGATTTTATTATAAAAAAAAGAAAAAAATATATTCTTATTTTCACTATAATTAGCTTTATAGGATAGTTTCTTTTATTTATTTCTGCTTATTTATAATCAAGTTTATAATCGAAAAAAATTTAATTTAATAAGTCCTTAATATTGACTTAGTCTATTTTAGGATTTATTATGTAGGATTTAGGATATAATATGAGTCTTATTTTTGTAAATTAATATATAGAGGATTCTATATAAAAAGAAAACGTAAAAACTTGCAATATATTTTTTATTTTTGCGAATTCTAGTGGAAAATTAACAGCTTTTTTATCTTGTATAATTTTTTTCTTTTATTCTGGATAAAAAGTTAAAAAATATTAATTTATATATAAATATATATATTTATAATTTTAAATTAAAAATATCTATATAAATATATATATTTTTTTTTTTAATAATATATATTATTTTATATATATATATATATATAGGATTTTGTTTAAAATATGTATTAAGTTTTGTTTATTGGACTTTTTTTTATGATATTTACTATCTTTTGTATATATATCAGTTTTAAAAATCCTAGTTTTAATTCAGATAATGAAGTAGAAATTCCCATTAAATATAGTTTATATAATGTTTTGCCTGGCTTAAGATGTTTAAAGTATTTTTTTTTATATAATAAATATATATATATATTAAACATTCTTCTTTTTTAGAAATGTACATTTTGAATTAAAAAAATTATTATTAGGATATTTTTTTATTGGATGTAATTTATTAATAATAAATATATATACAACTACTTGGATTGGTTTCAATATACAGAAAATATTAAAGAGTAATAATAAAAAAAATAATGAATAATAAATTAATTATAATATGGGTGTAAGCTGGGGTGCTATAATTTTAAGTATTTCTACTTTTTTGTATTTTTTTTCAATTACAATTTTAACCAAATATTCATAATTAAAAAATACTTAAAAATAAATTTTCTTGTTATTTTTAAGTAATTTCTTGTTAGGTATTTCACTTGTTTTGGCTTATTATTTAACAAACTTTTATATCTTGTAGATAAGTTTAGTATTTTTAGGAGCCGCATAAGCTTCTTTTGGGATAGTACCGTAAAAAATATGCTAATATTTTCATGATAAGTATGATATACCTATTAAATAGAGTGGAAATTTAATTTATTTGTTCTAGTTTTTATCTTAGGTCATTATGTGGTTTTTAGTGCCTTGCCTTTTTATTTATTTTGATAGTATAGATGAAATTTCTTTTAGTTTATTTTAAGGAAGTATTTTAGGAATTATAGGGTCTATTATTATTTATAGTATTAAATGATTAATATACATATATATAAATAAAAATAAAAATGAATATTATTAATTTAAATTAAATTTAAAATGATTTATATTAAAAAAAAATGTATATTTTTCATTTCTGTTTATATAATATAAATAAAACAAAAATAATAAATTTAGCAAAAGCTTGTATATATTATTTTATAAAATTTTAAAATTACTTTTATAATAATTATAAAATTTTATAATAACTTAATTATTTTTTATAAATAAATAAAAAAAGATAAATTTTTAAATAAAATTTGATAAATTAATAATAATAATAAAATTAATTTAAGAAAAAAAAAATTGTATATAATAAAAAATAAGAGATATAAAAATAAAATAATAAGTATTTCTTTTTTAACAAACATAAAAAAAAAAAAATTTTTTTTATAAATTTCTATAATTTATTAATATTAACAATATTAATATATATAATCTATAAAATTATTAAAAAATAATATGTTAATAATATATAAATTTAAAAAAATTATATACAAAAATTATTTTTATTAAAAAATAAAAAAATTAATAAAAATCTATAAATAATAAAAATAAATTAAATGTTTTTTTATATAAAAAAATTGTAGTTAAATAAGATAATAAAAATATATTTAATGAAAAAATAAATTAACATACAAAATAATATATATTTATATATATATAAATATAAAGAAAAAATATAAAAAAATAAAATATAAATAAGAAAAAAATATATATATATATATATTATTAAAAATTAAAATATAAATATATAAATAATTTATAATAAAGAAATAAATATATAAACATCTAAATATATATATATGTTTATTTATA